GACTTTTGTTGGCCAAATGAAAATAAATGCAACACCCAAGGCCTGAACTGGATGCTTTAATTAAGCTACTCTGTAAAATTACAAGACCCAAGTTCTCTGGAGTCCTTCAGATTTCCATACCCAGGTGGAGCTTCAGGGATCACAGTGCAAAACCAGGAGTTTGCTTGCTTACTCAGGAATCGATCCTCAGCCTGGCTGTGCAGAGATTTTACTGTGAAAATATCTGAGTTTATTTACTTATTTATTTTTAGTTTTGTCAGTGTTAAACTTTGACAATCATGTCTTGGCCAGTTAGGGCTGATTTCTGTATAAATTATGTCATAAAGCTGATTTATGTGAATATTAAAGCAGATAAGATTTGTACTCTTACCCATAAAGGTATGAAGTGTGAAACTTGTGTATGTAGATAGGATGTGAGATAGTACTACCTAAAGAAATGTATTTGCAAATTTGGGTTTGGATTATGTTGAGAAATGGTTTTCTCTTTGCTGCTTTCCCGTAGTATAGTTGTATATTCAGTGCCATCACAATTTCATACTCAGTCCTTCTATTTCAGGAAAAAGAAATCAAAGCTTGCTTCTGATTAATTGAAAAATTTAACAACCTTCCTACCTTTTTTCCCCCCCCCATTAAATTTTTAATTGAATGTTTTGAAACCAGTATACAATACATGTTACCAATATCTATTATTTTTTAAAGGTGTTGGGAAAAAAAAGGGGGAAAAAATGAACTGGGTGGTTTTATCAGATAAAACAAAGAATATAGCAAGGGTGTGGGGATTACTTGCTTCTTTTTTAATATTAAATAGAGATTTTTCATCAAAGATAAATTAATGACAGATATCTCACTACAGAGCTAGTTAAAAAAAAAAAAAAAGCTTATCTTTGTTCAGTTTAGTAAAGTAAATTTTGAGAGCGCAAAGAGCACTTGTCTCYATGAGTGAATGGAGGTGTATTTTACATTTCCAGCTGTAATTGTTCTTTCTGAGCTTACTACCRAAGGTGGTTATCTTGCTAAAAAGCAGTGTCATTTGTCCCACTGACACTGCAGGAGTCCAGTGACAGAGACTATAAATCAATTTATGCCTGCTTAAAAGCAAGGGACAAAATTCATGAATGTTAATTAAAAAAATGCTTGAAATTACACTTCTTTTTTATGATCAACTAAAGCAGGCTTCAACCTCCTTTGCTGGGTTTTTAATATTAGCATCACAAAACCTTACACTTTTAAGAGACTGTCTGGTTCCTATAACAGTATTTATTTAGTATGCTGCATACACATGACAATACGCAGCAAGTGGGATGTCACCCGATTAATCCTTGCTCCAGAGGTGTAAGTGGATATGATCCCAGGCAACACCAAACCAATACATACTGATTAGTGTTACAGTGCTGCACCAAACAGCTGTTTCTTGAAAGGAGAGTGGAGGCCATTTGGTACAGGAGGCTTCCAGTATATTCTCATGTGATGGCAGAAAAGGTAACCTGGCTTGACTGACTCATGTGTTGTGTGGGATCTATGGGGCAGAACCCCCAAGTGTCAGGGTGGCTCTGGCTCATACTAGAGAATAACCATTAGTGAAGGCCATACAGCTCCCATTTACCTCTCAGGATGCTCAGAAGTATCCTAGGGTCTATGTGAGATTGTTCCCGCGGCCTGAATTTCTAAGTCGGCACACGGTATGATGAGCTGTTCTTGCAAAACTGGTTCCTTAAAGGTTCATTAAGATGCACTTGCAAAACAGACATGAATCTATTGTTCCCCCCAAGAATATTTTTATAGCTATGGTCAGCTCAAAAATGCATGTAATCAGGATCACTCATGCACACGGTCACTAACTGTCCCGTGTCTTGAATACAGCAGACTAGCACCTATTTCTGTGTCTTGCCTCAGGAATACAAGGTCTGTACTCCTACATACAGGGTTGAGGCCTTGCAGAAATTTATCCAGGGATGCAAACACAGCCTTGGACACTGCTGTTCAACCTGGTTTGTTCCTACTGTTTGTGTCTAAGCTCCCTCTGCACCTACCTCTGGGTGGGTCCACAGTCTTGTGGGAGAGAAAAAAAAAAAAAAAAAAAAAAAAAAAACCCTCAAACCCTCATATTTATTAGGAATGAGGCAGTAGTTGGCATGGGGGTTCATGCAAAATCAGGCAATTTGGTCAGGAAACAAGGAATGAAAAAACTGAGAGCAGAACTGAAAGAGCAAAAAGGCAATGTGAGGGAACTAGACATAACAGTTGTAGTCACTTTCAGTATGTTTATTTGTCAGTCGGTGAGAATGTCTTGTTCCTGGTGAATCTGCATATCTCTGAATCTGGCATTTTCTCTTCGGGCTTCTTTCTGCTGGTAAAATAACCTGACGGCCAAGTAACCTGTTATACAGAGAGGCTTTCTGCTGAAGTCACTAAGGCCACCCCATTAGGAAACTGGTGGGGGAAGAGAAGCAGGTTACGTGTGCTTGGGAAGATGCAGGGTGTGGTGACCACATGGGTTCCTCCTCCCATAGCTGTCTGCTTGTGTCTCAGCAAGCAAGGTACTTCAACAAGGGCGGCTTGAAGCTTAAACATATTACAACAGGGACTTTTCCTCCCCTATTCACTTTAATGCAATTTAGAGTTTAGAAAGCTGCCATTATTCTGCACAACCTCTAGCTGCTGGCTGATGTTCTTCTGCCTATGTCACAGTGCTGATCAAAGGCTTGCCTGCTTCACTAGAAGCATCACTTGCAAGTGTGTCTGGAAGTGCTGCTTAATCACAGGGGCTCACCTTTCAGGGCAACAGCAGACAGGAGAGCTTATAGTAACAAGCTGGAGTGTCGGAGTTAACCATTAAGAGCCTCTGAGAATCTCTTGCTGAAGCCAGGAAGGAGGAGGGGGAGAGACCACATGAGAAGGGCATGTAAGACTTAGGAGAAAACTGATTCAGCAAAATGCTTATTCCTCTGCCTTTAACTTCAAGGCTATATGAGTTTAATGGAGTGGCTAGGCAGACACAGCTTCAGTTATGAGAAAAATCTTAGCCTTTATCAAGATTACTCAGGCACACAGGGTTAAGTACATGTTTAAATGCTTTGTTGACTTGTGTACAGTCTTTCAGTAAAACTACCTACATTTGCATCTACTGCATTTTCTTGATTGCTATTCATGACTTGAGAAGACAGGTACATTTAATAATAAGAAACTTTTATTTGGATGGTGCCACATAAGGCTTTTCAGTCTTGTTAATGTATAACATGGGGTATTTGCCTTGCTTTCTATCCAGGTGCCATGGCAGTGGTGGTACTATGTGCTGTGCATTTCCCGTACAGCTTACCATATGACCCGACTTGGGCTTCTCATCAACCACAAGAAGTAACAGGCAAGATTAGAGATGGACCTTTAGTTTTGGTTATTCCATTTCACAGAATCTAAGACTGATTGCAGTTATATTTATAAACAATTATATATGGTGATCTAACTTTATTTTAAATTTTATGTTTGCTAATGAAATGTTCAAAATCCTTCAGTTTCTCATCATTTTCACACCAAGCAGACATGTCATGCAATCTCCTGCAATTCTTATTTTCTTAGTTTCAGCAGAAATTGGCCTTACAGTTTTTGAGTGGTATCTGCATATGTTTTACAGAAATAGAATTTACTCCAAATTCTGCAAAACTCTGATTTTTTTTATTCTAATTGAATTTGCCTTGACCTGCATTTCACTGAGACAAAAATTTAAATTTTCTTTTAGAGTTAGAAATTCTTCAGTTTAAGAATGAGCGATTGCATTAGAAAAGGAAGAACACAGTTTGTTCCCATGGAGGCTTAAGTTTGCAAAGTGAATGTGATACTTAAGCGCATAGTTATGCATGTTAGTTTTTGTAAGATGAGGGCACAGAGTTCACACATATTTGCAATCTTTTACCCTTGTGAATAATTGWTCATATGATTTTCAAGTATATACTCAAGCGAGGTCGCTACCAAGGCGAAATAGTTCAYTTGGATAAAGGGGCAGGAATGATACTGCATAAATTGGCAATCCCCTSCAAGTATAAAAATTCAATCACTTCTCATAGATGTTGGTTGCATAAAACACTGTTATTTCTCGGCTTCCGATTTGAATTGGCAACTTCATTCATTATATGAAATTCTGTGTGAGTGACCCCTGCCCTGAGCCAATATTCCAGAGGAACCAATCCTGCATTTACATGGGTGCATTTGAGATCTTGCCTTTGGTATGGATTCTGCCTTTTAAATTCTGCTCCCTAGTCCCATTTTAGGCATGACCACGCACTTGGATTGTGATAGGTTTGCAAGAGCAATGGAGAAATAATTACTAAACATGCCGCTGAACAAGAGGATGAGGAAGTGAAATCAGACTATTCCACAACCCTACGGGAAAGAGGAAAAAAAAAATCCTGGAGCAGATGGTGAGCGCAAATACGTGGGAGCAGAGCTGAACGAATCGGGCTTTTCCCCCGCCAAGCCTYGGCCGCTCGCTCCGCTGCGGAGGCTCCAGGGGCAGATCCGATGGCCGGCGCTGACGCGGAGCCCGCCGCGGCCCAGCGGGCTCGGCCGGCAGGTGGCAACACGTACCCGGGCACGGGGGACACCTAGGGACACGCCCGGGACACGCAGGGACACGGCACGTGCCCCCCACGCGCACGCAAACCACACACGCGGATACCCCCCCCCGCCGATGCCCCAGTCCCTGCACGCCCCCCAGGCCCCGCCGCCCCGCACCGCACCGCACACAATCCGCCGTGCGCGACACACACACGCGTCGAAGCGCCGCCCCGTCCCGCCCCCGCCCGCTGCCTCGCTCCCTCCACGCCGCCAATCCGCCCGCCGCCGCGCTCACACACACGCACGCACGGTCACAACATGCCTGCCTGATTGACTGACCTGGCCGCCACCGCTCCGGCCGGATTATTCACCCCGCGCSCAGGGCGCCGCGGGTTTACGGGGAGCAGCCGAGCCAGCCCGCGGAGGTGGCGGCGCCTCGGGAGGGGGGCCCGGAGGCTTCCCAGCCCCCGCCGCGGATCGCTGGAGAAGCCCGGCCAGGTACTGCGTCCCCGCGCTCCTCCGGCCCTGCCGCCGCCKTGGCGGCTGCGCCCAACCGCGGGCCGGCCCCCTCCGGGCTGAGCCGCCCGCCGGCGGGGCCGCGGCACGCGCGGCTGCCGCGGGGAGCCGGCCCAGGCCGCGGGGCGCCGCCGCGCTCCTCAC